ATTTAAGGAATCCCTGTAATCGCATTTATTTAAGACTTTAAGGATGAATCCATATGGTCTCCATTATACACGTATAATCGGAATTCAATTAATTTAACTCAATCTGTTTCGTTTTGTAATGCAAATTGTATGATTAAATATTAATGAAAATAAGTTCATTTTCTTGATGGGATAATTTGGGAAGCTTAAACACTCTCTTAAATCCCAAAACCTCTCACAGCTCTTTAAAATCAAGAGCAACTCGCAAGGTCAAAGGGTAGATGGGGGACGAACACTTCAGACAATCCAAACAGAAGACAATCGTTTTGTGCTTTCAACTGCTTTCATTCCACCATATTCCCTTTATGAGGGCAGGGCCTCGGTCGTCAGCAGAATTCAATGCTCACACAAGGAATGGGAGGACAATTTACAGTTACTTAGGCAAGGACATAACATTTTCCAGTGAGCGCCGAAAAGTATGCTATCAGAGAATATTTAAAAACAGACTGACGAGCTGCTATAAACTTTATAGACTCTAAAAATGTTATCATCAAATTTATTTGCTTTTAAAATATTTTAAGGATGTCTGATATTATATTTTAATTAATTGAAACAGATTTTTGTTCTATAAGAGTCGCTCACTGTTTTTATGACAACTTCAGAGTGATGCTGTTACGAGCTTGCGCTAAATGTAAAGCAAAACTAATTTCTATATAATGAGTGAGGTAATAAAGTCATCGAATATCACAATTATTCATACGTTTTAATCGGTCTTTCCGGCACTGCATTTTCTAGGTCAAAGAGCGGACAGAGCGGATGCCCAGTCGCGCTTATCCGCTTTAAGCTAATAAGCTATGCGAAACTTTAAACGACCGCAAAAACAGAACTTACGAGTATCTATGGCAGCACATTGCCCATTTACGAGGCGAAATAAGAACAATACTACGAGTATAGTGTGTAGTTCATGGTAATCTTTTAATTTCGAAAATGTATTCAAAGTTCCCGTTGCCTTGAGAGAGAAATGAAGTTGTTTTCCATATTATAATCTTTGTATTTTTGCTTCTGCAAGTTGTTTTGTAGAGCTATTTTCTTGAATTATCCAAAGGATAAAAATTCAGATTATTTCGCGGCAAGACATTGTTGTTAATAGAGAATATACTTTAGCCACTCTGCGAGCTTTCCAAGCTCTCCTTTTAAGAGCTGTCTTTTATGTGCAAGACACTTGGAAAATAGTCAAAGAAATTTGAAACTTTGAACTATTATAGAAATACTCGTAGTAAATGCAGGTATTCATAATCACAGATATTAGGAATGTAATACAAATTTAATTAGAACGTTTATGTACATATGTTCATATATATTATAGGAATAAAAATATGTTTAAATATGTCCCACATTAAATCTAAATATCAAACACTTTAAAATTAATATATGTATTATATAGGAAATAGATTTAATTTGAACATGAAATTTGAAATATATTTAAATATTTTCATTTTAATATGCACTCTCGGGGCATAAATATTTAAATCTTAGTGTCGAAAATTGGTTCTTAGCGCTTGTTCTCTGTGTTTACAGGATATAAAAATAACCCCCAAAATGAATTGAATTTCAATGGAAAAAACGTAATTTTCGCACAAATAAATGACTAATTTGATTATTCAACGTGTAGATTCAATTGCGTGGACACCATTTACATTTACAGTATCCGTTTTTACGATTTGGTAATTTGTAATAAATATCTTTGGGTGATTTACGTGATTTTCCAGAAGCTTTTATCTAATGTGCGCTGAACAAATGGCCTACAACACTCGTATTATGACAATTTCCGATTCGACTAAACCACACAAGCAAACAGAACAGTACACACACACACAATACACACAGGCACACATGGAGGTGGAATAAAATCTGTTAATGACAATAAAATGTAAAAACATAAAATGGTATAATTGTCGAGTGCATGAAAATGAAATTTGTAAAGCCCCCGCCCAGCCACAGGATATTTCTGCCACCTCTCTCCGCACACTCGCTTCCTCTCTCTCTGTCTCTCTTACCGTCTGTCTTTCCCCCTTTATCTAAATAGTGTAATTGTATAATTTGTACAATGTGTCGCCTGTGGACCGGATTGTGTTTGTTAATTTCCATGTTGTAAATAAATTATTAAATTACTTTGACTTCCATAAGGTTGCCAGGGTCATCATAATGGGCTCTGTGGAGGATGCACCGGAAGAAGACTCAATAAAATACACAACACAGATATTAAGTTGTTTTTAATGTGCACGAAATGTTGTCATCCTGTCGATCTCTCTCTCTCTGTTCCTTCTCTCTCATGAATATTGCCTGGGGCACGGAAGCAGGACCTGTTCTGAGAACAATACCGAGTGCAACACTGTCACTGGGGCCCGGCCATGCCATCATCATCAACATGCCAACGAAATCGAATTACTTCCGTATGCTGTGGCTGCACTTACAGGCTCACGCATAACGGCATACATATATATGTACGGGAATATACCCAATTCAGGCCCAGCCGCCGCACAATTGCAACTCCTTCTCGACACTTCACTTGTCCTTGTCATATTTCACTTCCTCCCCAGACACCCACACACTCACAGACCCACACACCCACAGAATGGGACTGAGTCGACTGCTAACTTGTTGGACTTTTGTAACGGTTCGTCTGCTTGTTCATCAGACAGCAGCACAGCGCTGCACAGCAGTTCGGCTTACACACAATTTACAGAATAACCTCAACCCACTCACTCACCCACATTCCTTCCCTTCCACTCATTCTCTGTCATTCAGAGCTCAAACTCGGCCGTTGCCGTCGCCGTCGCAGCCGCCGTCGTCGCATGATGACGTGCTGTCGGGCCCTTCGTCAGTTAGTCATTCAGTCGGACTGCCATTCCATCGGCCTGGGTGAGTGTGTAAATTGTCTTGTGTAAATATGCAAATTTTTCTTATTTTTTTATGTCGTTGTTGTTGTTTGCGTGGGGGCGGTGAAGGCATGGCAGTTCGTGTAAACAAACCAAGGCGTCGGATTAAAAAGTTTTGCATTACAAAGCGCTCGAGAGGAGGCAGCAGAACGGAAGCTTGGGAAAATGTTTTGATTATTTAACTGCCAGTTACGATAAAACTAATTGCAATTACAACTGGTTTCTTCTTTCGGCCCTAATGAAATTGCCAATGCCACTCGGCAGTCGACACAACTCAAATTCGGAGCACAACTCAAAGTCCGGTCGGTCTCTATTGGCTGGGACTGTGGCTGGGGCCAATTCAAACAGTTTCCATTCTTTGCTGGCCTCTGCATAAATTTACGGGCATCGCCCGCAGGCGATATTGATTTCCATGAACCCATAAACCAATGCAAATCCAATATCAAACTATGCCCCTGAGAGAGATTACCTCGATTTGTACCTCCTGCTTGCTCAACTAAACCTCTTGTAATTCATCTAAATTGTGGACACAATACACCTAGACAATCTCATAGACTCCTGGCTGTGGCTCTTACAAAAGATTGTTACACTACGGCAAGAATTTGTGTGAAAATATGGAAAAAGCTCGATACTGCAGCTGCTTGATTTTTGTTGCCTTTGAAAGTTGTACCACAAAACGGTATGGGGGTTTTATTTATTTTTAAAATTTGAGGTTATCTCTATGTATATTTTTGTATGATTTAACCTGCTTGAGGTAATATTTTAATTAATCGGGTATTCTATTTAAATTTATATTCTTAGACTTTCCTTAGGAGTGTGACCAGAAATATTACAAATTTTGTATGGTTCTCATAGTTATAGTTTATGATTTTATCTACTTAATTTGGCTCCCAATTATTTTCCAAATAAAACTTTGTTATATTCTTCAAAATATTTTTTAAATTAATTAAAATGGAAACACTTTCTACAATAAATAAGTCACATTTTGAGCTGTTGATTGTCTGTCTGTCTATTCATTAATCTGTTTTTTAGCAAATCAAACTCAATATTTGTATTATTATTTTAGACATTTTTGTCTGAGTATGGAAAATTCAACAAAATTGTTCTTATTGCAAGCATCATGTTGTAAAAGATTAATTTTAAGTTGTTTTCAAAAACGTATTGGAACCATTGCCTTTTATTTTTTGAACATATGGGCATTTTCTTGATTGCACTCGTCACATTTTATGTGAAATAAGAACAACGAATTTTTATTCTAACAATTGGGAATCACACTTAACTCCGAACTAGTTCCACAATTTAAAGATAATTGTAAAAAACCACTATAAAAAAAAGTTGGACAACTTGAGGCAGTATTTCAATGTAAATTAATGTCTCTTAAAAAAGGCTTAGATTTAACCGAAACATTTTCATCCTATTTATTTTAATTTTATTCTAACCTCATTCGCACGGGCAAAAATTTATTGGATTAGTAAAAGCTAAAAAATATATCGTTAGTCGATATTTGGCCATTTTCCTGGATCTGGATTTTTTTTATATTTGAATATGTAAGAAGTTTTAATAAAAGAAAATATAATAATTACAATAAATTTGTTTTCTGATTTTAATATTTTGCATGAAATCATTTAGAAAAAAATAATGTCGAGAAAAAATACCTTCCCATGGAACTGCCCAAATGCCTTACAAATATTTTAATAAAATCTGATAAAGATGGTATAAATTTTAGAGAAAATAGAAAAAAAAAAAACATTCTAATGAATATTAATAAAACATATTTTAAGCCATTCTATTCTTCAACAAAATTATAATACTTTTGTTTCTAGATATCTTAAATTCAGGATCCAGATCATCCAGGAAATATTGAATTCATGTAACAAATTCCTGAATACTATAAGAAACCCAAGAGAAAAATGGAAAATTTAATTTTTTGCATTCCCATTAAACTATTACTCCCACTATGGAAGCCATCTACACAGAAAACTCTTGTGAGATTGTTAACCATATAGCAAACGATATTACAGACACTTCAAGTAACTTCAAGCCCTGCTGTGGCTGTGGCTGTGGCAACAAACGCAAACTCACCTGCTTTTATTTGACGTTATGTGGCTGCAACTTGTTGACTTTAATGAAAATGCACTCTGAGGCTGCACGGGCTGGATGGCAGGCTGGCTGGCTGCACAGACTGGGGCACACAACAAGTTAATATGAATTAGTTTGTCTCTAGTTAGTAACACAGTAGCTCAGTATTTCAGTATCTTAGTAATGTTCACAGACCAAATTGCACACGACACAAAAAAGACAAACAAAAACGAGCGTGAGAAACACTGATACAGACTCTGTATCCCTACACACACAAGCGCGAGTCACTAAGGCTAGGATGGTGGCAAGTTGCAAGTGGCAAGGTCTGGCTAATTAGCTACTGTGATTCGCTGGCGGAATCTTAACGAGTCTATCTGCGGCTCGCTCGCTTAGCAGTGCCTTAGCATTTATGTAATGCTGGCTGTAAACTGCTTACAGCGTCCACTGCTTGCCGGCTTAGCTGTCCAGCTGTGCTGCAGGACATGGCCGGAATGCGGTCTTCTCTGCTGTTCCGCCTAGCCTTATCGCAAGGGCTGAGTGATTTAGCAGATTCCAGTTACAAGTTCGTTTTACACTGCACTGCTGGAGTGACGTCTGGCTGTGGCCTGGCCTTAAGGGAGTGCTGTGCGTCCTTACTGAAGGAGCAGCCGCGTACAACTGAATGCTGGTGGATGTGCAGGCTGCGATTGTTGCAACGACTCTGCCATGGCAAGAAGCGCAGCACTGCCAGTAGCCGCAGACGCAGCGGCAGCAGCAGCACCAGCACCAGTCCAACACATAAACGCCGCACATGCAATACATATATACAGGGATATGTACAATGGGCGCTCGGGCACGAAGCTGGTGGCAGGCGAAGGGTTGTGTAGCATGTAGTTGTAGTTGCAGGCGTCGTTGTCCCTCGTGTTGCAACCCACACAACGGCAGTGGCCACGAAACAGTGGCAACACCGACACGACAACGACGTCAACGTCGGCCCACATTGTGCAATTGGCTTAGTCCCAGTCAACTACAAGGTGCTTTACAGTTGCAGCTTACAGTGGAGAGACCTTCGTTCGGCCTTTCTCTCTGCCGTTGGGCGCTCTCCCCAGCTTTGCCTCTCTCTCTCTCTCTCACTCAGTGGATGTTAGCGACCAGCTGTTTGGTTTGCCGGCTCTTATCAGAGCTCTGTTAGAGTGCAGTTGCGCTTCCGCGGCCGGCATCCTCTCCGCTTCCATTCGTTTTCTTTCCTTTCCTTCCGTTTGGTTTTGATTTATTTTGTAAAAGTACAAGGACACTTTTATATACATATGTATATCGATGCGGGTCCGCGTGTGCGTGCCAAGTGTTGGGCAAACAAGCCGAGCACTAAAGCCGGAATACATTTGAGACATTTGCAATTGACTTAATTTGATGGAGAAGCAGCTACAATGGAGTAGCCAGTCAGAGGGGAAATCATTTAATATCAATCGAAGAAATAATCCATCCACAGACATTCAACCGGACATTCAAAATGCAAATCGAAATTGCCAATTGCCTCAGCAAGCACGATTATCTGGCCCATCTAGCCAATGAGCAGCAATTAATTACATAATGCTAATCCCATCAGCCCTAGTCGTAAATCGAAAACCCTTAGAGGATAAAGCCTTCCTTAGGGTATCCCCTGATATCTATTATTCGAAGCCAAGCAGCGACTGTCGGTTAGTCCAAGCATATCCAAGCAGTGGAAAATTTTCCATCCTGCTTGTTGCCAACGGACCGCCTTAACAGAGCGCTGTTAAGATGGCGCTGTTAACTATGCCGGCACGTGTTTCTCTCACACGCACACAGAGGCGCAGATTTTTTGATTCTGTTTTGATTAATAGCTTCGTTGCAGGCTTATCAGGCACACAGATACGCTCAGGAACGCACACTCACAAGTATGATAGACAGGAAATGCAACAATGTCACGTGGCCGGCATTTCGGCGCGCTCGCTCAGTGTTCTCTCCCGCTCTCGGGCTCTGTAAAGTAGGAGAGTCAACGCCTGTGCCGTTTACAGCACAAACTCGGCCACAGTTAACTTTTTTGGCGCCCTGCCCCGCCTGCAATCGAACATGTTCGAACATGCAGCTTTCCCGCTCTAGCATTTCCCCTTCTGTTCACCAAGAAAGCAAAAGAAGCAATTCGAAAGCATCAGCCAAAAACAAACGAAAATTGTGCGAACAACAAAAAATAAACTATTACATAAGTCGGTGCTCCACCTACGAGAATTGTTGGGGGATTTATTTACGTATGTGTTTGTGTCGCTCCATATGGCAGATCGGTTTCGGGGCTTATCGGAGCTCGGTTTTTCTGGTTTAGCGAATGAAAACGGCGAAATTCGACTGTTCGTTTTAATTGATTTAACTGCCGTCAAATGTAGCATACATTTGGGGGCCTTACGAATCCAAATTGAATTGGCATAGGTCCGGCAGAGAAATCCAAATATTATTGATTCATTAAAGATTCGAATATGTTCGGTCCGCTAGAGCTACATTCGAAAAATGTTCTAGAAAGCCTAATTCCATTATAGAATTACATTTCTATGACATATCCAAAGGATATTGCATTTTTACCTAAACAGGATAAATTCTAGCTCCTGTCTACCTTAAATAGTGTAAAAAACAAATATTTGCTGCTATAGACAATGTAGGTACAATGTACATACATATTTCATATATTTTGACATCACACTTTTGTTTAAAAACAAGATATTTTAAAAATCATATCGTTGTGAAAATAGATACAATTACAATACATCATCAATTTACATATGTATCCTTTACATTATTTAGATTCTATAGAAAAATCTATATGCAATGGTATCTTATCCTCGCCATCATTGGTTTCAATTTAATGCATAAATATCGGAGAATATAAAATGATACGCAAACTTTTCAAATAGCAATTCTGATGCAATATGATTTGAACCTTAGAATAGAGGAATCATTACAAATCTTACTATAAATAACATAATCAAATAGAACCTTATCCAACATTTAATTAATCATTAGAATCAACAGAGGCCTCTGCTGTTGAGGGTAACAATACTCTAGCTTAAATACTCTACTGCTTACAACGTACAAAGCAGTGTGCTGTAGACTAATTCTTTCAGGCAAAGAAAGCTGCTCGGTTTAAGAGCTAAGGACATTATATTAATTGAATCCATTGTCAACTTAGTACCGATACTCCGTTTTTTAGTATACCTAAACATATCTTGTAAAAATATCAAAGAGTTCTACGTATATAACTTATATAATATGAATGTGCTTCAATAAAAAGTTAAACAGAAATTCTTTCGACTATTTAATTGTTTTTTTAATAGCTTCGAATTAAAATACGTAATACGGATAGCTGCACTTATAAATATAAATGTAGTACAATGCAGGAAGATATTTGGTAGAATCTTTCATGGGTGAAATATATATCATTCCATTTCTATAATATTCATTAAATTTCTATAAAACTGCATAGCTCAACTAATGACAAACTAATATTTAGAGAAATGTTTTAGAAAATCAAATGAAAAGAAAATCCATTTAAAATAAAGCCCAAACGCAGCCAAGCTATTCGCCTGGACTCCTCCCCTTGCAACATGTTGCAGCGTAAGCGTTTCCCCTACTCGTTGACGATGTTGGTTCTGGCGTTGGTAGTGGTAGTGGCAGTGGCAGTGGTATGGGCTCCCTACAGATTTTGCATTTACTCCGCATGGCCTTTTTGGCCATTGCCATGACTCTTGTTGTAGTACATGTCACCTACATACACACAGATACACACCAACACTAGCACCAACAGAGACACGACGAGTGCGTGCGTCGTTTACATAGGCTCCATTGGCCGTGGCAGCCAACCAACGACGTTCAGCCATGTCGCCTACAACGCCCGATACATATGGTGGGTGGGTGTGGGTGCGGCGGCTGGGGTGGGTGGCATGGTGGGAAGGTTCGTCATTTTCATTCGTCGGCCGCTGAACGGCCCCTTCACGCCCCACCAGCCCTCGGCCCGCATACAATGTTGCTCGTCTGGCCTCGTGATCTGGCTTTCGTAACCGAAACGCGACGCGACGCAACGCAACGCCACGCCACGCAGGGCAGCAAGGGGCGTAGCAGGACGGACCCGAACGGAGACGAATCCGTAAAGTTTACAAAAAATATTCCTGCAACAAAATGCATTTAAATCTCCTGCTCTTTGGTTTCGATCCTTTTTTTGCATTTGCATTTGCTGTTTGCTCTTGTTTCTCCTTGTTATATACACCCCCACCCCACCTTATCCAGGCATCAACCCATTTATTTCGATTGTTCTGCTCTTTTTGGGTGGCATAAATTTTAATCTTAATTAAATGCGATTTTAATAGCATTTTAAATTGCTTATCCAGTCACATGGATGTGGATGTGGCTGTGAATGTGGCAGAAATGAAGCACTTTTCCTTCCACTCTCTCTCAGAGAACTTTCCAGTAAATCCAGCCATGTTCTCATTAGGAAATTTTCCAATTCCCCGAACGCATAAACTAATTTAGCTGAAATGTTTTTGCTTACAAATGGTCTCCACATCCGAGCATCGTGCATCGTGCATCGAGCATCGAGCAGCCACACAAGCCTTTCATCATCTCATCAGAGGAAACTCCAAAACTCCATTCCATCTCGAACTTGGCTGGGCCCCAGATACTTGGCAGCGTGAAAAACAAGATATTTCTGTTTACAGCTGAGGCAGGAGCTAGGAGGAGCTTCCAGAAGCCAGGATTCAGAGGCAAGGCATTCCTTGCACTCGCATTACAGGCGGCGACAAGCAAATGAGTCGCCCGACGATGTCGAAGCTGATGTCGAGGATGACGAGGACGAGGACGGGGACGTGGACGGGGATGTGGATGTGAGTTAGTTCCTCCTTGATGAAAATGCCAAATGGTTTGTGTCTCTTTATGGGAATTGTTGTTTGTTGTTCCGGGTTTTAGTTCTAGTTTTGGTTTTGTGTTGTGTTGGGCTGCTGCCTGTTTAGCTGAGCAGATAAGCAGCAATGCAGTTGGAGCGAGCACTGATGATGGAAGTTGGCGGTTTTTGCCTTTTTTCTGGTTCCAAAAGTTCAAGGGTGCACTGGACTGGAGACAGAGGAGATTGGGATCTTACCGATGGCTGACTCAATCTGAACTTAATAAAGGAAAAGAAAAGATGAATGTTTAATCGATCGATTGAAAATCTACATCCACATACTTCAGGCTTAAACACACATACAAATAAAGCCAGAAGCACAGACTGGATCCACCATTTTTAATTCAAAGATACAAAATGAGTTTTTTCAATTATTCCGGTTTTAGAAACCTGAACCGGGAGTCCAAGATGCTCGGCATCGTTTGTGCTTGTATAGCCATAGCGAAACTCAGTAAATCACTTTTTTACCATTGAAATTGATAGTGCACAGTTTTTTTCTATATTTTCTCTTCAAATTACGAGGAAGTCTGCTATCAAACACAAACAAAATGGATCAGCCTACTGATAGATGCTAATGTTAATCATTTTAGAGGTTAGCAATTATATACCATTTCAAACGTATACGTATCAATGTATTTTTTCAGACAAAAGACACAAATCTCCCTAGATAGCCAACCTACCTCTGCC